AAAAAAAAAAAAAAACCTCAGGAAAAAAAAGTATAGGGCCCCATAAAACAGACTCCAGCATCCCTGCCAGCTAGCTCTAACAGAAAAATGAAATTAAAAGAGAAGCTTATTTACTTAGGCACAAAAAATGTTGTTTGAAAGCTGCGCAGTTTTTTCACTATATACATTTGCCAAAAAATTTTTGGAATCCCTTTGTCTGCATGGATTTCAAAATGCACCAAAATAAACTTATCCTTTTTAAAAATATTTATTTATTTGAAAGACGTAGTGACAGAGAGAGAAAGAGAGAGATTGAGCTCTTCCCACCTACTGGTTTACTGTCCAAATGGCTGCAACAGCTGGAACTGGGCCAGGCTGAAGCCAGCACTCTGGAACTCCATCCTGGTCTCCCACAGGAGTGGCAGGGGCACAAGCACTTGGGCCATCTTCCTCTGCTTTCCGAGGTGCATGAGCAGGGAGCTGGATCGGAAGTGGAGCAGTCGGGACTGGAACTGGTACACTGATATGGCAGCAGTTTAACTCACTGTGCCACAGCACCAATGCCTGAACTTTTCAATTTCATTTTCCAGGAACTTTTTGAATTGCTCTAATATTTATATACATATATATGTAGTTGTATATATATATATATATATATATATTTCCTGAAGCATTTTGAGGTAGCATGCCATTTCACCCTAATCTAAGCCAGTTTGCACCTCTAACACACTAACAGCCAAGGAAGCATTTAAAAGCCATTAACACTGGGCCATTGTCACAGCTGAGAGAATCAACAAGAATTGTTCATCATCATCTAAAATAAAATCCACATTCAAGTTTCCATTGTTATCTCAAAGTTGTCTTTTTAAAAAGATTTATTTATCTATTTGAAAGAGTTACAGGCGGGGGGCGGGGAGAGAGAGAGAGAGAGAGAGAGAGAGAGGTCTTCCATCTACTGGTTCACTCACTCTCCATATGGCTTCAACGGCCAGAGCTGGGTCGAACCGAAGCCAGGAGCCAGGAGCTTCTTCCGGGTCTCCCACGAAGGTGCAGGGGCCCCAGGACTTGGGCCATCTTCCACTTCTTCCCCAGGCCACAGCAGAGAGCTGGATCAGAAGCGGAGCCCAGACACAAACGGTTGCCCATATGGGAAGGAGGCTCCTGGCCTCTGGCCACCAAGGAATCATGGAGGGCGGGTGGATGCCTCGCCCTGGCCTCGCCTGCTGCCCTGGCAAGGGGATCTTCAGCAGTCATTCCCTGCTTCCCTCCCTCTGTGACTTCCTCCCCTGGCGGGCACAGCTTCTCCCTGGGGTTTCGCGCTTGGCTGCACCTCCCTTTGCAGTCCTCAGCGTCCGAGCGCGGCTCTGTTTTCTTGGCCGTTGTACTACTTTAGGACTCTGTGCGAGAGAGCAAGGCCTGCCGTGGGGATTCTCATGCAGGTTTATTTGGGAGGCATCCCTGGGAAGCACGAAACGAGAGGGAAGGGAAGGGCCTTGTGGACCTGTTTGCTGGTGCCGGCATGCAGCCTCGGTCCCACCGGAGAAGGCACCTCGCAGCCGCACCTGCAGAGGGCAGGAGGCTGGGGCATTCGCTGCAGACCCCCGTTCCCTCGGGCCGAGACTCACTCCTCTGCGACCCTCACTCACTCCCTCTCACTTTCTGGCTGCCCCTTGTGGGCTGGGGTCAGAGGGCTGGCCAGCGTAGGAAAGTGGAGTGATGTTGGTGGATGGAGGAACCTCAGGTCCCGGCTTCAGTGAGTGCAGAGGTGGGCCGCGTGTGGCCCAGCAGTTAGGCCACCACTGGGGAGCTGGCATCTCATATGACAGCACCAGTTTGAGTCTCTGATGCTCTGCTTCCAATCCAGCTCCCTGCTAATGTGCCTTGGAATGCAGCAGAAGAGGGCCCAAGTCCTTCGGCGCCTGACACTCTTGTGAGAGACCAGGATGGAGCTCCAGGCTCCTGACTTCGGCTTGGCCCAGCCTTGACCATTGCAGGCATTTTGGGTAGTGAACCAGCAGATAATGAAAGTTCTCTCTCTCTCTGAGTGTGTGTGTGTGTGTGTGTGTGTGTGTGTGTGTCTTTCCTTCTCCCTCTAACCCTGTGCCTTTCAAATAAATAAAGTAAGTATGGGTGGAAGATCTCTCTGTGTGTCTCTCTCTCTTTTGCTCTTTGTCACTGTTCGTTTCAAATAAACAAATAATAAAAAAGTAGTGGCAACGCCAGGCATTGGGCTAATATCTTCCCAAATGCTTTAGCATCAAATCTTCCCAAGGACTCATTCTCATTGTGCAGTGGACACAATGACGCTGAGAGGCTGCAGAAACTGCGTAAGGGTTGAGCGCTGTCTGGGCTGGGTGCTGGGGCACAGGGGCTTTGCTGCCTTGCTCTGCCTCCCCGATCCCATCATCCTCAGGAGTGAGAGGCTAAGTTGGCAGCCCCCACCCGGGGACACCTCTGGGCTCTGACCCCACTGCTACGGCCTGGAGTACACCGTTCTCTCTCCTTTGGAGTAACACGGGGTGTGCGCTCCTTGGCTGTGTGCTGTGAGCAGAGCTAGGCAGCCTGCTGTGCCGGCCCCGCCGCTGCTTCTGCACCAGCTCAGCAAAGCCACGCCTTTGGAGGGTCCGTGTGGTCAGGTGCTGCCAGCTGTTGGCAGGGGCGAGCTGCTGCCCTAGGGGAGCCCGAGAGAACCCTGAAATAGAGGCAGATCTGGGACCTGAAGGACACGCCCTCCGCGCTGGGCCTGGGAGTCACCTCCACAGAGGCCTCCGTGTCTTCCCATGCGGCTCTCAGCCACGTTCCAGACTCAGAAGCAAAGCGGCTCCACTGTCCCAGACGGCCCCCAAGGGCTCATGCGGCACCAAGCCCCGCCCCACGGCAGGCAGGTGGGGGACTGGGCTGGATCACGGCTCCCGCACCTTTTTAGGGCCCTGGGGGTGAAGACCTGGCTCAGCCCTGCACCCCTGGACACTGCCACTCCCAACCCTCTCTCCCTGGATGTCACCTTCAGGAACTCATAGAACAGAAGGACCCTACAGGCCTGACCTTGGCCGTCACTCTCAGGGTGAGGACAGAGGCCACGGCTCAGGAGCTGGCTGTGCTGAGCCAGGGCTTCAGTCCTGGTGCCAGCGGGGCTGGTCCAGGACACAGAGTGAACCTGGCTTAGCCCTTGTTTCCTTATTGCAAGCATCCATCTGGCGGGATTTAAGGAGATGCTGTGGGCACAACACGTGGGCTAATCTGAGTGGCAGTGAGAGATACCATCCAAAGTCACGCAAAGTCAGAACAGATAACTTTATTATTATTATTAAGTTTATTTGAAAGACAGTGTGGTGGTGGGGGTGGGGTGGAGGGTGGAGACAGACAGATCTTTCATCCGCTGGTTCACTCCCCAAATGGTCACAACAGCCAGGGCTGGGCCAGGCCAAAGCCCGGAGCTGCTTCCACGTCTCCCACATGGGTGCAGGGGCCCAAGCTCTTGGGCCACCTTCTGCTGCTTTTCCCTGGAGCATTAACAGGGAGCTAGATCAGAAATGGAGCAGCCCAGATTCGAATCAGTGCTTGCCTACGGGATGCCAGTGTTGCAGGGCCACCCTGCTGGCCCTAGAACAGAATGCTTCTAACTCAGAGTGCCCTTTTTGCCCCATCCTCTGGGTGCTCTGGGATCTGGCCAGGGACTCTAGCTTTTCCAACTCATAGACGCAGTCCTCTTTGCTGCCATTTCCCCCATGCTTAAGAGAAGTTAGGGGTCACCCCAGTGACACCAACATCCCATAGCAGAACACCGATTGGAGTCCCGGCTGCTCTGCTTCCAATCCAGCTTCCTGCCACCCTCCTGTGGGAGACCCGGGTGGAGTTCCCGGCTCCAGGCTTTAGCCTGGCCCAGCCCTGACTGTTGTGGTCATTTAGGGAGTGAGCCAGTAGATGGAAGACCTCTCTCTGTCTCTCCTCCTCTCTCTGTTGCTCTGCCTTTCAAGTAAATAAGTAAGTCTTTAAAAACAGAAAGAGAGAAAGTTAGGGCTGAGAGGTGGCAGGGGAATGTGGGGTGGGTACCGCACTGAGCACCCCCAGGCTGCTTCTGTCTCCTGTAGACGCCGCAACTGGACTTGTCAGGCCCTGGCTGGGGCCCATGGGGGTCCCTAAGGATGCACTTAGAGTGCTGGGGCCTACGACCGGGACTGGAGTCCCCACTCTGGCGCTCAACAGTTCTACAACCCTGGGCGTGGTACACAGCCATCTCAAGTCATTTCTGAGATGATACCCCTCAGGAAGTGCAGGAGATGTGGGAGCGCTGATCACCAGTGTGGGAAGATCCATCATGAAGAGGGAAAGGGGCACATTCTGGATCATTCTGGATCATTCTGGAAGGCATGCTGGGGCCAGAGCCAAAGACAGTTTTCAGGCAGAAGGAGGAGTTTCATTGTTTCCCCACTCCCAACCCCTCCTTGGTGACAGGTGTGGCCACATGATGAAGGCCTGGCTGGTAAGAGCCCTGCCGACCGGGTTCACGGGCACCACTGATGAGAAAGGCGTGTCCGAGACCCTGGGCACCACCACAGAGGTACAGAGGAGAGACCCGTCAGAGAAGGCAGGGCCTGGGTTTCTGGGCCACGTGGCTCAGTCCATTCTCTCTTCATTTGAGGTCATTTTGCCTTGGGTTTCTGTCTTTCCTGCCCTCTGTACCTGGCCGGGTCTGTGATTGGGTTGCACGCTCTCCGTCTGGCTGATTGCGGGTGGGGATGGGGGGAGCGGTTGAGTGGGTGCAGGTGGGGGGTGTCTTGGTGCTGCCTGGGGCTGATCTGCAGCCACTCACCGCCTCTGGCGCAGGCCAAGCTCCCTGGCCAGCTCTGCGCGCCCGCCGGGGTAATCCTTTCGCCTGAATAACCAGCAGCTGGCTGTGGCCAAGCCCGGGCGGGGCTGACCCCAGGGATGGCTGCAGACCAGCCAGGCCTTGCCCTGTCACACACAAACAGCTCTCCTGAAGCCCCCACACACCCCAAAAGGCGACAGCAAACAAAAACCAGGGGGCAAAGTTGATTTATTTAAATATCTATTTTTCAGTAAAACAAACATTTTTAAATTATGGGGGAAAAAAAAAGAAGGAAGACAATCGCTTGCATTTGGGGAGTTTCACACTGTGCCAGGTTTTGAGAGCAGAGAGCTGGAGACGCCTCAGCCCAGTGCAGAGGCAGCAATGACCTAAGTCACGGTTTTCTGGGCAGGTTCCACCCTGGCCACCACCCAGCCTCTGCTCCGGAACTTGCGAGTCCCAGCTGTCTGACCATCTGACTTCTGCGGCCCTCAGCTGCCCCTCAACATGTCCTTTTCCCTCCTACTTCTTTCTTCTGCACCTCCCACCGTCTCCTACACCCATGCACCTGCACACACCAAGCGTCCAACAAAATCACCTCCTTCCTGCAGCGAGCTCACCTCCCTCAGCACCTGCAAAATGTCTCTCTTCCAGAAAGCACTCCCATCACTTCTCAGCCTTTTGACTAAGATCACATACAGAAAGGATTCCCGTGTCCCCTGCCCTGAGAGCGTTACCCGGCGTGAGGGACGCTCTGGGCTCCAGACCTGCTCCTGCCACCTGTTGGCTGTTACAGTCCTAGGGACAGGTCGAACATCCTGAATTTGAAAATGCAAAATTCTCCCAAAGCTGAAATGTTCCGAGCACCTACCGATATGATCCCACAAGCGGAAAATGCCACGCCATGAAGCTTTGTCTCAGACGGTTATTAAAAGCATTATGTAAAATTGCCTTCAGACCATGTGTATAGAGTATATGAAACATGAATGAATATGGTGTTTGGACCTGGGGATCCCATCCCCCAGATGTCTCATTATGCGTATGCAAATATTCTGAAATCCAGTGTGCACCACTTCTGGTCCTAAGCATCTTGAATTAGGAACACTCAACCTGTCATTTCTTGTTTTTAAAGTTTCAGGTATACTGCTTCAAAAGGATGTGGTTAGGGCCCAATGTTGTGGCGCAGCAGGTAAAACTAACACCTGCGATGCCAGCCTCCCATTTGGGCGCCCGTTCGAGTCCCGGCTGCTCCACTTCTAATCCAGCTTCCTGCCGATGGCCTGGGAAAGCTGTAGAAGACGGCTCAAGTGCTTGGGCCCCTGCACCTTCGTGGGAGACCTGGAAGAAGCTCCTGGTTCTTGGCTTCGCCTGGTTCAGCCCTGGCTGTTGTGGCCACTTACTGAGTGAACCAGTGAACAGAAGATCTCTTTCTCTGCCCCTCTCTTCCTGTAACTCTGAGTTTAAAAAATAAATAAATAAATCTCTCTTTAAAAAAAAAAAAAGATGTGGCTACACAGCACTAGGTCCAGCAGTGTCCTAAAAGTTTACACAAGCTACAGAGTACATGCAGGGCTCCCTGTGGGCCCCCGGGCACTGCCACTCTCGGGTCACTCCACATGGCACCTGCTGGGGGCCACACTGTGCTTTCAGCTTGTGGGCTGCCGTGGTGGACCATCGCCTTGGCAACCAGCAAGTGGGGTTTTGCCGTGGGAACGTCAGGTCCCTTAGGGCAGGATTGGATTTGCACATTTATTTGGTGAGCTTTCCCCTAGCTCACAGCACCGGTCAGGGCTGAACACGGGGCAGGTGCTCAGTCTTTAGGTTTACTGCTTTGATTCAAGTTTCCTTGGACAGATCCACCACCCACGGTGTGACGGCAGCATCATGGCAGCAGGATGGTGGAAAAACCCAAGCCTCCTGGTTCATCCTTGCGAACCTGACCTCCAGTGGCCAGGATGACGCCTGGCTTGGCGTTCTGGCACCCACCCAAACGCTCTGGCCCACGGCTTAGGACCACCTGCTGAAGGATTTCCCTTTCCCACTGGAATACGACTCCCCATGGAATGGGTAGGGAACATGACCTTGCTGTGGATGAACCAATCAGACAAGAACTATAATTTGACACTCAACCCCCAGATAGGGACAGAGGGACACGGCCATGCTGTAAACCCAGAGCGGGGCCACCTGTGAACTGTTCATTTGGAGGGTGTGGCGTGGGACTCTTGCTGTCTGAGCTCACAGCTGCCCCAGCCAGCAGCCTCCACCTTCAGCCCCCTCCCTCAAAGGCACGTGCAAATCCTTACAAGTCCCTTCAAAGAGCGGCCTCTTTTGTTATTTTCAAGAAAACCATCTTAAGTGGCTGCAGAAGATAAGAAAACGACCTCACCCCATCCAAAGAGCCCACCAAACATGCATCACTTAGGAAACCCAGTCTAGACCCTTCCCCTCCCCCACCGACACATCCCACCCCCAGCAGGTGCACACAACTACACACAACACCTGCCAAAATTAACCTGCTTCTAAAAATAACCCAGCCCTTGGCGATCCACTCGGGGCAATGCCATTGCAAACACTCACTCGAAGCCAATCACAGTAGACACAACACCAGTTAGCAGAGACCGAACACGACAGCCACCTCGGTGGCCCCTTGCTCGGTCAACCCCAACCCTCAAGTCACTGAACAAGGGTTTGCCTCGGCCAGACCCCTCGCCGGGACTGGAAGCCGCAGCCCAGGAGCATGCTCAGCCCTGGCTGACCCCAGAGAGCCCGGAAAAGTTGACTCTTGGCTTCAGGTCCATTCGGAATCTAACACGTAATAAATAAACACGTGCCCCCCACCACGGCTGCTTGGGCGTTTCCAGCCACGTGTGGATGTAGCCTTCAGGCCGCTCCCCAGAATTCCCAGGGGGAGCTTTGCTCTGATGGTCCAAAGGCTCCGCCCCCAGCCTGAAGCTCTCTGGATCCCACTGGAGAATGGGGGAGAGAGAGAGAGAGAGAGAGAGAGAGAGAGAGAGAGAGAGAGACAGCATGGCTCTTGCTGATGACCGAAGCCTGCTCTTTGCTGGAAGGGACATCCCCCTCCTTCCTGGTGTGCAGAGCAATCTTTGGTTCTAAGCCAGATGGAGTCTTGTGCTTTGGAAGGGCTTGGAGGAGTGGGAGAGACACGGAGAGAGTGCTGAGAAGGGACGTCCACATGCGGCTCTCTTGTCCTGCGGACCCTAGGAGCAGGATTCTTTCCTCAGCGTGGTCCTTGGGGGAAGAGCAGCCCCCAGGGGCTCAGCACCCAGGGCCCAGGTCCAGCTGCTGCAGCATTGCCTGCAGGAACCCCTGCAGCCTGCTCAGGGCCACCACCTCCGTGGAGTAGAGTGACGCCTCCAGGACGCCTCCCAGGCCCTCCAGGGTCTCCAAGCCACTGGCTCGGGGCAGGGGGCAGCTTTTGGACGAGGCCAGCAGGTGCAGAAGGTCCCGGAGGTTCTCCAGGTCGTTGGCTATTTGGATCACATTTCGGGACGGCAGACTGGCGAGGATCTGTTGGTAGATGGCCAACGTCTGGTCCATTGTGGACAAGCTCAGGTTGGGGTGGAGGCCAGGGATGAAGTCCAAACCGACGACCCTCTGTCTGGAGGAGACCGACTGCTGCGTGGGAAGAAGACGCAGAACAAGCGCTGAGCAAGCGTGAGAGACGTGGATCTGAAAGGCTCTCTGCTCCCCAGAGCCCGCAGACCCGTTCTCCGCGTCACCTCTGCCTCCCTCCTCACCACCTGGCCCAGGTGCCCTCTTCCTGTGCCCAGGGGACCCCTGGCTTCCTGGATGCCCACCCTTCCCACCCACTGCTTCCTCCACTTCCAGACCGGCCTTCTCTGGTCATTCCTTTCTCCAAATGGCCCCTGCGCAAGAATCAGCCGCATCTCCATGTTTCTGGTTGAGTTTAGCCTCTTCGCAAGCATCTGGGTTCCTCAGTCAGCACCCCCAGCCGCTGCTGCCCTCATTCCCTCCCTCCCTCTGCAGGCTCCCATTCAGGTTCTCATGCACCCACCTCCTTAGGGGTCCAGGCCACCCCTGATGGGGACCCCCCTCCCTCCTCGGCTCCGGTGGCTCTGGCTGCCGGGGGGTTCTGCCAGTCCTCAATGCCTGGCGCTCAGTCTTGTCACCAGCTACATTGGGACGGCCTTGTGGAGGGACTGTTTTGAAAGCAGGAGACTTAAGGGTTTCTCTCTATGAAATGCCCAAGATTCTGTCTGGAGCTGAGCTGTCCCTGCTTCTGCCCCTCTGGCACCTCCTGGCCACCCACAGTCACTTCAAACATCTACAGTGACCATGTGCCAGTGGTCATGTAAGTGGCTGATAACCACCTTGGGAAGATGATCTGATCGCCATCATGTAGATGACCACGCCAGAGCTTAAGGGCGTTTTGGAGCTAGCTGAAGATCTCAGACAGACAGCAGATGTGGAAGACTCACAGCCAGTCTTCCTAACTCCACAGACAGACCTCCTCGAGGCAACAGCCGAAGGGCTAGGCCTGTGGACCCCAGAGGAAAGCCCAGGGAAAGCCAGGTGCAGCCGCATGGGCCGATGGGAACCAGGGTTGCCCTGCTCTTGCACGTGGCCTTGAAATGCAGGAGCGAAAGGGCAGAGAGAAGCTTGCAGAGCTAGTCCAACTGCCCCTGCGAGAATCCCGGTGACAGAGGTTTGGAGGCTGCTCTAGCCCCAGGCACCAGGACTGAAGGAAGTGGGCAAGCCGACGGGAGAAGGGACAGGCAGAGGCGGTGGTTCGTGCAGCAGGAAGAGCAAAGGTTGCAAAGCCTGAGGGTGTCACCATATGTCCCTCCGTTAACCTCTGCACCCAGCTTGCCTTACGCGTCCTTGTGATATCAGACTCCTGCGATCCGTTCACAGAAACACCTGGCAAACCTCAGCGTCCTTGGAGTGGGTTAGCATCAGAACCACTCGCTCACTGCCGAAGCCCAGCAGGCAGAGAGACTGAACAGGAGCCCCACGCTTTTAAACCTCCCCCAACTGCCAGGAGGCGCTGGCATTCGGAGGGTGCTCTCCGGCCACGGTCCTGCTTGGTCCCCGGAGCCTCTGTACCGTGTGTGAGATGTCACTGATCCTGGTGACAATGGTTTTGATGAGGGTCTTGGTGTCATCCTGGACTTTCCGCATGGGCACAGCTGGAACACAGGACAGACAGGGCCACAGCCACAGGAGTTGGCAGAGGGGTCCACACCGCATTTTCCTTCCCAGGATGTGTTTCTCGGGCCTGAAGGCAGAAGGAACCACCACCCATTACAGAGGCCAGTAGCTCAGACTGTGCCCATCTGCCCACTACCAGCCACACTGCCTAGCGCGGATGAACTGAGATCTGCTTTGTACTCTGGCTACTTTCTCCTCTGCACCAAAGCTGAGCCTTTATCTAGATGTCTATTAATGAAATGCGTCCCTTCTGGAAGAAGATTCTTGTCCGGTCCATAAAACCATGACGAGGTGTCCCGCAGGCCCCGGAGCAGCCAGCCTGACTGTGACCAAATGCACTTGGTGGTGACAGCACAGACTTCAGGGTTGCTTCAAGGCAAAGGGAAAAGCTGTTAAGGTCTGGTTTGAATCTAACCACTCACACTGCATAACATCAGGCACACTGGGGACGGCGTTGGGGGCCGCTGCCGGTGACACTGGCGTCCCACATCTGAATGTTAGGCTTCCAATCCAGTTCCCTGCTAATGCGCCTCAGAAGGCAGAGGAAGTTAGCCCAAGTATCTGGGCCCCCGCCACCCTTGTGGGAGACCCAGATGGGGTTCCTGGCTCCTGGCTTCAGCCTGGCCCAGCCCAGGCCATTATAGCCATTTGGAGAATGAACATGAACCTGTGGATGGAAGATCTCTCCGTCTCTCCTGCCTTTCTTTTCTTTTTCTTTTCTTTTTGACAGGCAGAGTGAACAGAGAGAGAGAGAGAGAGAGAGAGAGAAAGGTCTTGTTTTTCCGTTGGTTCACCCCCCAGTGGCCGCTGCAGTCAGTGCGCTGCGGCTGGTGCACCGTCTTGATCCGAAGCCAGGAGCCAGGTGCTCCTCCTGGTCTCCCATGCAGGTACAGGGCCCAAGGACCTGGGCCATCCTCCACTGCACTCCCAGGTCACAGCAGAGAGCTGGACTGGAAGAGGAGCAACCAGGACAGAATCTGGCGCCCCGACCGGGACTAGAATCCGGTGTGCCGGCGCTACAGGCGGAGGATTAGCCTAGTGAGCCGCGGCGCCGGCCGTCTCTGCCTTTCAAATAAATAAATCTTTAAAGAACAGCTTTAGGCACATCACAGAGTGACTAAAAACTCCACCCTCATCCCTGTGATGGGCCCATCTCCAGGCTTCTATGAGCATCAATTTAGGTAAAATGCACACGATCACTGACGTCATATGTAAGAGTGTTAATGGTTAAATTAACAACAGGGGTCACTGTGCACTAACTCCCCATGCAGGACCTCTGTCCTCAAGGAGTTGTATTATGAGAGTTAACTTGTATTATGAGAGTAAAACTTATTTTCAAACAGTTGTGTGTGTGTGTGTGTGCAAATTGTTGAAATCTTTACCTAGTATACAGCTGGTCATCTGTGTATAAAGTTAATTGAAAATGAATCTTCATGGAGAATGGACTGGGAATGGGAGAGGGAGGAGGAGGTGGGGTGGGAGTGTGGGTGGGAGGGCGGGTATGGTGGGAAGAATCATTGTATTCCTGAAGTTGTACTTATGAAATTTATACTCATTAAATAAAAGGTTTTCTTTGGAAAAAAAAATGCACGTGAAGGGGCTCCATGGCACCAAGAAATGTGCTCTCACCGCCTGCTGTTGGAGAGGACGGGGCTGCCTTGTCCTGTCCAAGGCCCTCATGGCAGCCCTGCTCTCTCTCGGCCCTGGCCTTTCTCACCTGCTTTCTCACCCAGCCAGCACTTTAGAACCATCTGGTGAGGCATATGTCAGGGGCATCACTGGGCACCAAGGATGCAGTGGACAGCAGGTGCTCTCGACTCCCAAAGGCTCATATATATGTTAAAAGGCAAGGAGAGGGAAGGAGGGGGAGGGAAAGAGGTAGGGGGAGAGGGAGACACAGAAGGAGAGGGAAGAGAGAGACTTATTCCATCTGCTGGTTCACTCCCCAAGAGCTGGGGCTCAGACTGAAACCAGGAGCCAGGAACTCAGTTTCTGGGTCTCCCTCTTAAGTGGCAGGTATTCAAGTCCTTGAGCCATCATCTGCTGTGTCCCCGAGTGTGCATTAGCAGGAAGCTGGATGGGAAGCGTTCCGTCCAGTATGGAATGTGACATCTCGACGGACAGCTTAAACCACTGTGCCATGATGCCAGCTCAGTTAGCGCATCCCAGGGGACACAGATAAGCTGTTCCCACGCGGGAAAAAAGAGTTATCACGGGACAGCAAACGGGGCTCCCTGGAAAAAGTGTCACCTGAGCTGGGCTTTAAAGCCAGGGCAGCGGTCGGGGAGGGCAGACGGTGGTGGCCACAGGCAGCTGAGCAGCCAGCTGGGGCGAGGCCCGAGGTGGGAAGAACCACACGTGCACCCGGCGCGTTAAATTGTCAAAGCCAAGGAGGCGCGAATCACAAAAGTAAAAATGTGCAGTTCCTTGCTGGGGCAGCAAAGTCTTAATGAGACACGCGAGGCAAAAGGCAATCAAACTGAGTGCGCGTGAGTCTGCAGCCCGTGCGCGAACCTGAAACAAAACCAAGATGCTAGCAAATAAGGGGACGGAGGAGCCGGAGATGGCGAAAGCTCGTCCCGGCTTTCCATGGTCTCCCGCCTCTGGACCTGGAGGCAGCAGGTGCTACATTTTCCATCCATAGATGGCAACATCCGTTTGATGCATTTTCTGGCCATGTAACACACATAAACACGGCGTATGGAGCTTTAGTCGCCACGTTTGAACACGGTAAGCATTTCGATTTCAGTTTTACAGAAGAGAGATAAAGGAGGCTCAGGAAGCCGAATCAGTCTCCCCAGTGGCAGACAGCCACACGGAGCATCCAGGATCTGGACTCGGGGCCTCCTGGGCAGCCAGGCTGGTGGGCTTCCTGCGCCCCACCTGCTTCTCCAATTACAAATCACCCCAGTCCCTCATCCAGGCTGGCTCTGGGGAACACGGGGCTTGGCAGCTCACATCCTCTCTAGGCTGAGACTGTGAAGTCACACCCTCTGCGTCAGCTTCCGCTGTGAAAAATATTGGGAGAATGCTTTGTGTTGTTTGCTCTCTTTAAACCGCAGCACTGGCCGGCGCTGTGGCGCAACAGGTTAAAGCCCCGGCCTGCAGTGCTGGCATCCCATAAGGGCACTGGTTCAAGTCCCGGCTACTCCACTTCCTTTCCTAAGACTTACGTGTTTGTGACCCCTTGCTTCCCAAGAGCATCTCTTGCCAGGTTAGCGCCGGTCCTAGTCACGGTCACATAACGACAGTCCCCTCTGATACCTGAATGGACAAACAGCTTGGGCAGCCCGTCCCTCACACTGGTAACCTCCAGCAGCCCACGCGGACATCAGTCACAGGAATGGAGAAGTGGCCGCTGAGTCGGCTTGCCTGACTGGGTGTGTGCCGTGCTGTGCTGTACTGTGCGAGACACACAGCCTTCGCCTCGAGAGCCGCTGTCCTATTGGAACTCTGCTCAACACAGCCACGCTTTATGCTGACTGAGCTAATGTCCCCTGCTAGGGCCAGCAGGGGAGAGTGGACAGCAGTCTGCCTCGGTTCTCCTGCGTCTCAGTCCCCATGGGGCCCGACGATGGCCTGGGGCTGGCTGGCAGGTCAGGGTTTAGGGACCAGGGACTGGAGCCATGACTCAAGACAGCAAACACAGCCCCATGGAGCATGAGGACTTAGCACATGCTTAGGGCCAGCAGCTGCCATGCAGCAACCGTCCATCATAGACCAGGCACAGAGATGGACGGAAAGTCCCTGGGAAGCGGGAGGCAGGTCTGGGGTGGATCGGGTCAGAGGCCAGGTCTTGTCCTTGGAAGCCTGGGTAGAGGCTGACTTTGCCAACTACGTATACATATATAGATTGTCTGCAAAAATAAAAGCAAAAGCCAAAGCTGAGTTCTTAAGCAATCAGTCTCAGAATTTGCTTGAAGGGAGCTGGCGCTGTGATGGAGTGGGTTAACCAACCACCTGTAGTGCTGGCATCCTGTATGGGCGCTGGTTCAAGCCCTGGCTCCTCCACTTCCCATCCAGCTTCCCTACTAATGTGCCTGGGAAAGCAGCAGAGGAGGACAGCCCATGTGTGCAGGCTCTGGCACCAGAGTGGGAGACCTGGAAGAAGCTCCTGGCTTTGGGTTGGCCCAGCTCCACCCATTGCAACCATTTGGGGGAGTGAACCAGCAGATGGAAGACCTCTCTTTCTGTAACTCTGTCTTTCAAATAAATAACTCTTTACACACACACACCCTAGCTCCAAAATAAATAAATAAATTTACATAATGAACTATAATATAAGGAAGAAGATTTAAGCAGTAAAATTCCACGAGGGACCCAGGAAGGAAATCACCCTGCTAGAATGCAACAGAATTGTGTTTGAGTCGGGGTACAGGACCTTGGAAGAGTCAGCTAATCTCTCTGAGACTCAGTTTCCCTAGCTGTCCACTGGGGATAATACAAATCAGAATCCCCACCTGTGGCTGCTCTATGGCAAGAATGAGATAAAGCACAAAAGGTATTGACTCTATGCCTGGCATATGGCCAAGCTCAACACCTGTCAGCTCTCATCACCACGATTTCTGGAGAAGGAACCAGGGAGGCACCATAGAAGAGGCAGCATTTGCCAAAGGCCCTGAGAATCGGAAGCAAGTGGGTTTGTGAGGGTCTGGGAGATGCTGGACAGCCCCGAGGGTCGAGGAGATGAAGGATCCTGGCAGGGTGGGGCTGTGAAGGCCAGGGAGCCAGCAGGTGTTTGCATTCCAGGGGACCAGGAGGATGGAGAGAGGTGAGAGGAGGCCTGGGGACAGGCTGAAGGGGGGGGGACACTGCCCAAGAAAGGGGTGTAGAGGAGGCCCTGAGCGCTGGGGGCGCCACCACTGAGGACAGTGGCAGCGGCTGGGTGGGCAGAAAGGCTGCTGTCAGTCGCAGGCGGCCTTACTCAAGGTCCCGCCACTCCCCCAACCCCTGTCACCCGTGCCGTGGGTTTGAGGGGGACAGAAAGAGAGAGAACAGCAAATGCAGCCCCGGGGACCACCTGGAGAAAGGCAGCAGCATCACCGAGGACAGGCTAAGCCCGGAGAGGCTCATACTCCCATAAGGCACCGCCCACCCCGCCAGTGTCCCGCTCTCTGACTTCACCCGGGTCCTGGCTGGCGCTGCCCCTGCACTGATCCTTAGGCGACTCACACCCCCACCTGCCCCTAGCAGGTCCGGCAGGGCCCTGCGCCACCTCCCCGAGGCCACGCCCCCCTCCTCAGCCCTCACTGGAAGATAATCCTTCCTACTTACGAGGGGACCTCAAAGGCTTTGCGCTCAGCTGCTGGGTGACTACTTGGGATGCCCGTATCCCATATCAGAGTGCCTGGGTCCAGTCCTGCCTACTCCACCTCTGATGCAGATTCCTGCTAACATGTACCCTGGGAGGCAGCACTGATGGACCCATACTTGGGTCCTTGCCACCCACATGGGAGACCTGGATGGAGTGACAGGCTCTTGGCTGCAGCGTGGTCCAACCCTGGCTGTTGCAGGCATTTGGGGAGTGAATCAGTAGATGAAAGATCTCTGACTCTATAAATAAATATTTATTTATGTATTTGAAAATAAATAAATATTTTAAGTTCATGGAAAATGGAATTAAGAGATAGGTTCATCCTGGTGAAAAAACATTTTGAAACCCATGCACACAAGGGTACTTCAAAAGTTCATAGCAAATGCATATTATGAAAAAATCCGTGAATGGATTTCAAACTTTTGTGCACCAAAATGAAATTAGATTCCATATTTCCCCACAAAATTCTTACTTGAGCAGCTTTTGATTTTCTGAATGTATTTTTGTTTAACAGACAGATACACCTGAAAGAGGAACGGGTGGTGTGGCCCAGAAGGTACCAGTTGTTTTTCAAACGCTGGTCACAGCACACCATCTGAACAGCACTGCGCTGCCGTGAGCAGGCTTTCTCTTTTCTGTAACCCAAAGCAGCATTTGAGAAATCCTGATAATCTCCTTACCTAGCAGCCAGGAAGTGAGTAGGGCTCTAGATTCTTAGGAGCTACCCTGAGGTCTGATCTCATTGAGGATGGCAAATGGATTTCAACTCCTCTGTCAGCTCTAATCAATTTTTAGTATAGGGGAATTTGAGGCTCCAGCCAGACTCAGAGGGAGATGGTGCCATGGCCAATTATTGATGCCTGCGCTTGTCCAGCATCTACCAAGGGTCTGGAGCAGGTGTTCCTTAAATATTAGTTGAATGAATAAATGACGTATTTCCCATTGTGGGTCCTCCAGGGCTGACCAGGTTAATTCATCTCTATGATGGCTTACCTACTCCCATCGGAGCCACAGCCTAGAATTCACTTTTGCCCAGAAGGAATTCCCAAGAAGTTGTCTCTTTTTTCCTCTCATTTATTTGAAAGCTGGAGAGACGAGAAAGAGCATGAGAGAGAGAGAGAGAGAGAGAGAGAATGTCCAACTCCCAGTTCACTCCCTAAATGCTCACAACCAGCAGGGCTGGGCCAGGTTGAAACTAGGAGCTAGGATTCCACCCAGGTTTCCCAGTGGGCGGCAGGGACCCAAGTCCTTGAGCCGTCCTATCTGCTGCTTTCCCAAGAGGCAGAGGAGCAAGGACATGAACATGAACTCCACTGAAGGATGAGTGCACCCCAAGCAGTGACGTAACCACTGCTTCCAACACCCACCCTCAACTCCCCTGTTTTCTTCAGTAACAGGAAAACCTTCTCAGCCAACGGACACAGCAGGTGGCTATGTCACAGACAGTAAGGCTGGGGACTGATGGTGGAAGGGCCAGTGAGCAGGCTGGGTGGGTGAGACGATGCCACAATAAAACAAAACACAAGGACCCTCAAACACCTGCAAACACAAAGCTGTCCTGATGCAGACCGAAAAACCCTTCAGGGTCCAGATCTCTTTCTCAGGGTACGAGATCTCCCCGCACCTCCTGCATGTCCTCTGGCACCCACAGGGGCTCAGCTTCTCCATCTCCACTGTCACCCCCAGGAGCTCCTTGCCACAGTTCCAGTCATGAGCCTGGCTCCTGCCCCTCTGCTCTGCCCTCCTGGCTTCTCCCGGCTTCCTTGGCATCCCTGCAGCCAGGGGCATCTGGAACAAGAACATCAAGGATGCAGAAGGAGAATGAAATCCAGGATGTCGGTGTAATGCTGGCATGGCCGCTGACTCTGGTTCACAGTTGCAGAGAGCTAAGAAGCTGAGTGGCAGACAGTAGTATGCAGTCCGCTGAGAAAGAAGTGCGGTGTCCGTGGAGTGAGTGCTAGGAGTCTCAGGGCCTGACCCACAGGTGCGGTTTTCAAGCACACAAAATTTCTCCTGTTCCTCTGATTTACCACGGACCAAAAAGACTTCCATGCCCTCTGCCAATGGCCCAGCGAGGAGCCGCAGGGACTGGGATCGTAGCCCTGCTGCTGGCTGATTGACTGACAGCTGGAGAATTGAACTTGATTTTCCTTAAACCCCAAGAAGCTGCTCATGGATGCACACCCCACAAGGACTCCACCTCTCTGCAGCCCTTTCCCTCCCCCAACTCCCACGTCCCCTTGGGTGGCCCCTAGGCTGTGGCAGGACTATGGTCCGGGTTCTCTGAGCAGAGCAGTCCCAGATGGCCACCTCCGTGCCCAGCACCGGCCACTCAGACACGCGAGGCATCTGCCTGGGGCTGCAGGGCAAGAATTCATTGCAACTTCCCTGGCTCGGTCCTTGGCGCTTGGAGCTATTTCCTGGAACAGAGAGGGGTGGAAATATTTCTCCCAGATACCAAGAAGAGTTATTTTGGGCCCAAGATGTATAACATATGAGAGGGACGCTCCTTTGGCCAACATGGAACAGTCTCCCCGTCCCCCCAAGCCCCATGTCTTGCACTGCTTGAGAAAGGAAAAGAGCTAAAAGCACACACTGCTTTCTCGTGTCTGCCAGCTCTCGCTGTCCAAAGGAGAACGATGATCCACGTGGCCTGTCCGACCCTGAGGGCGCTGAGCGGGAGCCAGTCGGTTGTCCGAAGCTCCTCCCCTTCAGCGTGCCTCCGTTCTGCTGATCGTCGGGGTGGGAAAGAACCCGAGACCCCTCCTGCTCCCCCGTCACAGCTGCCCGCCTCAGCGCTACAGAACCAAGGGACCCGCAGCTATCACAGTCCCTCCAGGGTGGTCTACCAGGTGCCTGCGCTCTGCCCGCCTCCCCTGGAGACCACCCTTGGTGCAGACCTGAATCATCTCGTCCTTGCCGAAGCTGCTCTTGTCTCATGGGACCTAACCGTACTTAAGGAGTCCCCCATCCAAAGTGCTGCCAGCTTTGGCTGCAGACACGGGAGTGAAAAGGTGACCGCACCCACAGGGAGATGCAAACCAGGTCTGGAGGGAGGAAAGGCTAGGTGGGGGAGGGGAGGGTCTCACCTGGAGCTCACCTGTCAGCAGTGTGTATTTAGCTGTCCTGGCTAGAATCGCCGACACAGGGAGGAACATGCAGGTAACAGACCCCGGCTGCCTTGAGGCGCGATGGGTGAGGTCCTGCCCAGCTTCTCTTCCCTAACTGCTTCTCCCCACTTCCACTCCATCCAAGCCCTTGTTCCAGGCTTGCGGTCTCTCCCTTTCAGGGCAGGGCCCTTGCTGGGAAAGTAAGACCAGAATTCTCCCCCTGGGAGAGCAAGGCTCTGTCCAGTTGTCAGACCCTGCACCCTCTGCACTGCCAACTTTGTCCCCTCTGAATGGGGAGAGGTAGGACACCCTGATCTTTGGCCTGCGCTCAAAGCAAATTTCCAAAGCTGCCCAGCTCTGCGGACCCAGCAGTCTCCTGGGGTCCTGGCTGGTTCTGTGAGGAGGGGTCCTTGCCCTCTGGGCACAGCCCAGCCATGAATCCACTGCCCCCAGCTCACGGCTGCTTGCCCTCTGGCTGGAACTCGGTGCAAAGCTATCCTAGTCCAGAATCCAGACATCTGCCCTCGCTGCCGCCTGCCTCAGTTTCCCTATCGTCTGGAGTGGGGAGCGGTGGCCACCAAGGAAGAAAGGTGGAGACGAAGGAGAAAGGAGTGGAGCGCACTGGGCCTTACCTTGCAGCTGCTGGCGCCGGGACTCCTCCGGGGCTCCATGCCTGCCGGCCCCTCTTATAGCCGCCCCAGCGCAGCTTACGCAACTCCCCGGCAGGCCCCGGCGCACCCCCAGCGCCAGCTCCCGCCCCGCCCTGCGGGGCAGCGTCGGGCCGGGCGGCTGCGGGCCTCGGGCGGCAGTGCGTCGTGCGCTCCGGTGCCAGGAGCCCAGCGCACACGCACTAGTGCGTCCCGAAAGGCTGGGGGCAGCCGCAGGCACCTAGAAATCCTCAAAGTCCCGCCAGAGGCTCCCGCGCGACGGTGGCGCAAGGATCGCCCCGCCGGACGGTGCTTTGAGCGGGACCAGGCGCCGGTGCCTGGGAGGCTGGGGCCTCCAGGGCGCACCTCTCGCCCGTGGAGCATGGACGGCTTGGGATGCCGAGAAGCCCTTGGGAGCTCTGCCCGCAGTGTGCGCGCCGTCCCAGGCAGGGTTGAGGGCGCTGACTTCGCCTCGCCTGCGGTGGCGCGCGGAGAGCGGGCTGCCCGGCTTGGTCTCCGGTTGGCGCCCCCGGGGGGCAGGCATCCATCCCTTGGGTGTGGCGAGCCTGCCTCCACGGCCTTGAGTTTCCACGTCCTCCCGTTGTTTCCCGTGTACGAAGGTGAGGCCGTGGAGGGGCCGCACCGGGACGAGCGGCGCGGAGAACATGCCCTTCCCCTAAGAACTGTGCCTGTGACCCAAACCCTGCCACCGCTTGGTCGGGTACCGCCCATGCACTGAGTGAGGACGGCTTGCCCCTCCGGTGGTTGGGGACACGGGGGTGGGGGGAAGAATAGTTCTGACTTGAAAATAATACGAAGTGCACACTTTGGTGTCCGTAAGTAAAATTGTGAGTTTTGCCAGCAAAATGTTGCTGGGCGTTTTGCTTCTCATAGTAGGTGTCGGTACCTACAGAATGCTCTTTGACTTGGCTTCTTGGTGTGCAGAGCTAACCTGTAGTGAAACGGGTGCCAAGCCCTGATGCAGGGAACACACGCTCTAGGAGCCGCCTCCCCCTGGCCCCTGGCCCCACCCTTCTCCAGGATCTCCCCTTGTCAGTATTGGGTGGGGCATCGCTGTCGCCATCACCGAGCCCGCTGCTGCTGGCTGCCCCTCCAGCCAACGCCCCTCCCCAGCTAGCTGGGCTGGGTGGTCTGTAAGAGGTCTGGCTGCCCACTCTCCAAGTCCTGGTCCCTTCCCAATGCCAAGGTCACGTGGGTGCCCAGGAAGTTTTCTGAGCTGCACCCAGGGGCCACTACACTCCCAGGAGCTGATTTGTGGTGTGTGTTCTATTCGCGTGTCACTGGGTGGGGATTCCTCTAGACTGGCGGAGATTTATTTTAAAACTTGCAGTGTCGGGGATGTGGAGGGGCCGTGGGAAGCCAGGCTCCTGCAGGTCCTGGAGGTGGTGGCCACATTGCACCTGGCATCAGTAGAAATCTGCTTTGCTCACTGCTGTACTCCACTTCAAGCCCAGTGCCTAGCACAAAGTATTTCATTTTTAAAATGTGTTTTTAGGAGCCAGTGTTGTGACGTAGTGGGTTAAGCTGCCACCTACAACACCAGCATCCCTTTATGGGTGCCAGTTTGAATCTTGGCTGCTCCAATTCCAATCCAGCTCCCTGCTAATGTTCCTAGGAAAGCCATGGAAGGTGGCCCAAGTTCTAGCCCACTTGGGAGACCCATGTGGGAGATCCGGATGGAGTTCCAAGCTCCTGGCTGCAACCCAGTTGTGGCCATCTGGGGAAGTGAACCAGTGAATGGAAGATCTATCTGTCTCCTCTCCCCGCCCCATAACTCTGCCTTTCAAATAAGTGAATAAATCTTTTAAAAAATAAAATGTACTTTTAAATGGAAGTTCCAAACATACAGAAAAGTAGGCGATAGTACAGTTGACTAATAAGACATGGCATTGTCTAGATTTAGCAATTATCATTTTCTGGATTTGCCTCATTTGTTTCATTTAAATATTTTAAAGGAAATTACAAACATCATGACATGTTATCCCTAGATACTTCAGTACTTCCCAAAAGATGAGAATTTCTCTATAACAGCAAGATTATTATCACACAAGAGTAAACCCTTAACATTGTGAGAGAGCTAGTGCACATCAACATCCCCCCAAATGTCTCAGGAATGTTTTTTATGGTCGCTTTGTTTGAACCTGATTGTTTTGCGCTTAATAAGTATTTATTGAAGGAAGAAAGGAAATTGAGCTATGTATTTGTGGAAACTAGAAATTGTTAATATTTGCCATGATTTATACCAGATTCCAACAGCAAAAAGGAAGCCAGCTGAGATGAGGAACAGTTGAGATCATTGAAAAGCAACATTAGAGCAGCGTGCAGGCCTTAAAGTTCTGTTTTTTGGTTTTTTTTTTTTAATTTTAATTTTTTTTTTGGCAGACAGAGTGGACAGTGAGAGAGAGAGACAGAGAGAAAGGTTTTCCTTTGCCGTTGGTTAACCCTCCAATGGCTGCCGCGGCCAGTGCGCTGCGGCCGGCGCACCGCGCTGGTCCGGTGGCAGGAGCCAGGTGCTTCTCCTGGTTTCCCATGGGGTGCAGGGCCCAAGCACTTGGGCCATCCTCCACTGCACTCCCTGGCCACAGCAGAGAGCTGGCCTGGAAGAGGGGCAACCGGGACAGAATCTGGCGCCCCGACCGGGACTAGAACCTGGTGTGCCGGTGCCACAAGGTGGAGGATTAGCCTAGTGAGCCATGGCACTGGCCTAACGTTCTGTTTTAAAATCACAATGATGTAGGACAACTATATTTTATAAGAGAAGAATCAGATCAGAAAATAGGAGCTGTTTTCTCATCATACATGTGCAAACACACACATACACAGACACGCCATGAAAGAATGCAGTCATTGCCAGGAGTGGCTTAAGGAATGATTGTTAATCTCTCAAATGTGTTTTTCTACTTTCTAGATAGGTCTCAAATGAAATCAGTTTTTTTTTTTTAATTTGCTCATTTATTAGAGAGACGGAGTTACAGAGAGAAAGAGGGAGGGACAGAGAGGAAGGTCTTTCATCCACTGGTTCACTCCGAAAATGGCTGCAATGGCTGGAACTAGGCTGATCCAAAGTCGGGAGCCAGGAGCTTATTCTGGGTCTTCCACGTGGTTGAAGGTCCCTATCACTTGTGCCATTTTCCTCTGCCTTTTTTTTGGGGGGGGGGGGCAAAGGGCTCATGTTTACCACGGATGGGAGGCCAGTTGGTGAGAAAGTGGCAGGTGGCACAGCCACCTTGTACAGCATGCCATACTGGTCCACTGTCAGACCAGTAATGGCCTCAGCTCCATCATTCCCCAGGCTGACTCTGGTTCCTGCCTGGCTCTGCCCGGCCACCACAACCCCTCGGGACCATTCAGAGGCATCGCTGGAGGGTGTGTGGTTAGTGGAGCAGCTGGTAGTTCTCCCCATATCCTCGGTGGTCACGGGGAGGTCTCGTTTCTTTGGTGGAAGGCATTCCTGACTCCTCTCATGAACAGGTTTCATATTGCTTTGTGGTGTTCCTGGGGCTTGGAAGGGGTCGGCTTGCTCCTTGGGGCATCAGAAGGGGCTTCTCTGTGGCTTCCCTGCATCCCTCTCTGCTGCTGGCTGGGGCGCCCACATCTGAGCTCCCCCTGGTGCTTCTGAGCAGCTGTAATGAGTGTCCTCCCGGGTGGCTTGGGAGCCGGCCCATCTCACAGCGCTCCCAGGGCTCCTCCGGCTCATCCCGGAGCCGCCGCACCCGCGGCCGCCGCCATCCCCGGCCCCGGAGCCACCCCACACCCCATTTTCCTCTGCTTTCTCAGGCCATTAGTAGGAAGCTGGATCGTCGGTGGAGCAGCCAGGACATGAACAGGGGCCCATATGGGATTCCCACGCCGCAGGTGGTGGCCTAACCCACTATGACGCAATGCTGGCCCTGGAATCACCTTAAAAGTTTATTTATTGGCCGGCGCCGTGGCTCACTAGGCTAATCCTCCGCCTAGCGGCGCCAGCACACCGGGTTCTAGTCCCGGTTGGGGCGCCGGATTCTGTCCCGGTTGCCCCTCTTCCAGGTCAGCTCTCTGCTGTGGCCAGGGAGTGCAATGGAGGATGGCCTAGGTGCTTGGGCCCTGCACCCCATGGGAGACCAGGAAAAGCACCTGGCTCCTGGCTCCTGCCATCGGATCAGCGCAGTGCGCCGGCTGCAGCGCGCCGGCCGCGGCGGCCATTGGAGAGTGAACCAACGGCAAAGGAAGACCTTTCTCTCTGTCTCTCTCTCTCACTGTCCACTCTGCCTGTCAAAAAAAAAAGTTTATTTATTTATTTGGAAGTCAGAGTTACAGAGAGAGGGAGAAACAGAAATTCTCCTTTCCCTGGTTCACTCCACAAATGGCCCACGTGGGTGCAGGGGCCCAAGCACTCGGGCCATCCTCTGCTGCTTTATCAGGAGCGTTAGCAGGGAGCTGGATCAGAAGTGGAGCAGCCGGGACTCGAACCAGTAGCCATATGGAATGCTAAATTGCAGGCAGCAGCTTTACCCACTGTGCCATAGTGCCAGCCCCTGAAATTACTTTTTAAAGAAACACCTTTTATGTCCCATGGGTTTTTCTTGCTTTTCCCATCCAGGCTGTAGCACTCACTTGGTATTGATGCTAGAGGTAACCAATTGGGCTGTTCTTTGGGCCAATATCTACGTAGCTTTGCTCTGCTCAAAGACAGCGCTTATTTGCAGGGCTCATCAGTTTGAGCATCACCTTCTGTGGGCTCTCCGGGCGCACTGGGACCTGGGGTTTTTGCTTGAATGCATGCAGAGCACTGAGACCACATTGTGAGGTTATGGGCTGCCTGTCTAACTTTCCATCACATACCTATTTTTTTTTGCATTCAATTTATTTGTAAAATACTGCTATATATATATATATATATATATATATATATATATAGACAGGCAGAGTGGACAGTGAGAGAGAGAGACAGAGAGAAAGGTCTTCCTTTTGCCGTTGGTTCACCCTCCAATGGCCACCGCGGATGGCATGCTGCGGCCGGCGCACCGCGCT